CAAAAATCGTGTGTTTTTGTTTATTTTATTCGCACTATCTATTTCGATACTGGCCGTCTCTTACGATATACTGTATTGGTTTCGGCCCCGATATAAAATATGTATAATATATACTTACATATTCATACTTCTAGGATCTAGAAGGTGGGGTACAACATGTCAATATGGCTACGGTTTTATTTACGATTGGCCTGTCCGTCTGTGGCAATTATCTGTGGTTGCCACGCAAAATGTTGATATATTTACCTATACCGTATGAGAACCGAACCTACAAGTTCCGGCGGCGAAGCCAATGGCTTAATAAATGCGCCATCTAGTCATAAACACATTTTTGTATACAGCGTGTCGTTACCAACGCGACAATAAATGAACATACATATAGAGGATAACTTTTTAAAATTGTATTAAACGTTTACATTCTTTAAACATCAATATTTACCGAGTTATTAAATTTTCCAAAACAAACAATTTTAGAACACTCTTACGTATGAAACTGTAACGTAAAGTTCATTAGTAAAGGTCATAAAGCATATGAATGGGTTGAATGAATTTAAAAGAGACAAAACATACTGTTAGAAGGAGAGGCTTGTAATGCGACGCTGTGGCGCGAGTTGTATAGGATGTTACAAATTTTGTTTCTTTTCACTTAATTAGTTTGTTTGAAAAATATTTTTTTTAATTATGGATTTTGTTTAACGTTAATATTTTTTTATGATAACTGGCAAGTAGCGTTAGACGTGTGTTCATTTATTGTCGCGATGGTAACGACACGCTGTATATAAATTAAGGACTAGAAATCTCTGTAATTTTAAATTCAGACAGTCTTCGCTGTTGCAAGAATGGGCAGCATGTTGCATGTCATTCCGGGAGAGTACCACAACCTTATAGAAGACCGGCTTGACGTGGAAGTGACTTTTGCGTATCGTCTGGTGAGTGGGGTAGCCGGAGCTCGATTTTTTAAAAGGTGGCAAAGGGTGTTGAAAAAGTGCATAGACGGCGGTTATCACTTAACATCAGATGAACCGCTTGCCACGTTCTCACATCATCATCTCATTCGCCATTGGTTATTACAACTTTAAATTGATCTAATTCACAACAATGGCTTTACTTCTATAGACTATACTCAGCTTTCTAGATAATAATTTTCAATTGAACCCAACTTCCCTATTGGCCTATCGAGAACTAAATATAGATCCAAATATACTCGGTATGCATTCGATTGAAACATTGTTAAATTACTTGGTAAGTTTATATATGTAACAGTGCCTCTTTGTAAAGTATCAACCAATACATGTTCCACTGCTGGGCATAGTCCACCAGGCGGCCCCACTGCGGATTGGCGGACTTCACATATGTTCGAAATATTTTCATGCAGGTCAACGATTTTTCTTCACCATTGATCGCGTCAAGTCGAAGTTGACAAGTCAGCAGTTGAAATTAAGAATTTCATTGGTGCCAGGTTGCTCGAGTATGTTTTTAAAAGCGAGCGCCCGGACAATGAGCTATCACGGCTCTTAATCTCATAAAACTTAAGAACCCAACATTAGGAACTAAACTTATTGCATTAACTTTTTTTTAAAGTTTTTTTAGTGCTAATCTCTGCACTTAAGATTGAACATTAAAACATGTAGAAAAAGTACGAAAAGATTGTCGCCGCTGTGAGAATCGAACCCACGTCTTCGGCACTCGCGGCCTGACGCTCTAGCCACTGAGCTAAACGGCTGATAGCCACAGCGACGAAAATCTTAACGCCTTCTTTCTACATTGTTATTTAGCATTTGAAACAATGGTGGGTTCGATTCCCACAGCGGCGACAATCTTTTCGTACTTTTTCTACATGTTTTAATTACTGCATTAACGTTAGAGTATAATGAACGACGCATCCATTTTCATAATACATTTTCAATCGACTCCAAAAAAGGTGAAGGGTTTGGACGCTAGCAACATCGTCAGAGTTAGTAAAGTGTTGTAAGCCTTCTTGGAAACGATGGAAGTCTATCGATCCGTAAATGATGGCAACGTGTTATTTCAATAGTTCTGAATCAGCTTATACCTTAACGTATGTTACTTATTGTTATTTAGATGTGTCCATACAGTAACTTAGTTATTAACGATTAACTAAAGTCATAATTGAAATAATCCTTGTAAATAACCACTTCGTTTCGGTTAAGTTTAGATAAACTCCCGCCGAAATGGGATACAGGGAACTAATAGCACAATTTATTACTACACCACTGCACGAAGCTTTAGTATTCAGTAACATGTCATATTAATGTGTGTTGTATATTGACACAAGTGGCTTCTTACTGACGCAATCAACTATTTCGTGTCCACTTACTTATTGAATTCTGTCTGTCTGCATTAGGTTTTCCTGCGACCGGTCCAACAAAAACTAAAGTTCATGAACTTCATTTTTTTATTGTAAGTTTTAACGTCGTCATTTATTATTACCTCTTTAAACTTTGTATTTTTATAATGAATTCTTTATTTAGTTTACGGATTTTGTCGCCTTCCATTTGTATACAAATTCCCGAAATATAATTTTGCAGCGTTCATAGTCATAGTTAATTTTTACGAGTTGTTGTTAGTATTTTTTATTTTTTTTTGTCCGGGACTTAAACTAAAATAAAACTCTAAAGTGATCTTTATGAATAAATAAAAAAAAAACTGAAGTTACTAATTTCTCAATAACGTTTACTCGGATATATCAATGCGAATATACATGTTAGAGTATTTAGATTTACGAATTACTACTTTTAAAGGAGCCGTGATAGCTCAGTGACCGGGCGCTAGCTTTTAATTCAATATACTCGAGTAACCTATTCGATACCCGGTGCCGGCAACAATGAAATTGTTAATTTTAAGTGTTCCATTAAGTGGACTATGCCCTGACACCCCCTGTACAGAGGAGGCTTATGCACAGCAGTGGGACATGTCTAGTTGCTTTATTTTAACTTTACTTTAAAGGTAATTGCGCCTATCCATGATTGTGTATAATTATATGGATTATTGTATGGAGGCATATTGGATGTGTATGTATGATTATGTAAGACACACAAACTGAAAAACTGAAAAACGTAAAAACAAAACGAACGTGGAACCGCTAATTAATTAGCCATTTGATAACGGTTACCGAGTGAGCGTTTTAATTAAAATCGCCCGTCATTGACATTCAGGTAATTGCATTGTGTAAATATTATTTGTTTGCTTGAGATTATATGTCAAAGACCCTTGGATTGGTATTATACTTAAATGGAATATTAAACAGATAAAATAAATAAAAAGTCAAATAACTCGACCATCGAACTGTTGAAAGAAATCTCAACACAAACAAGGTTTGTTTCCATAGTCAAAGGGACGACGTGACAATATATAATTATCTTGCGTTTAGTTCACTAATAGAATAAATGTTATATCCAGCGTCTATTAGATTATTTTTTTATGTGAGACGGTGGCAAGCGAGTTGGTGGTTCACCTGAAGCTAAGTCACACCTTTTTTTTGGTATCGGGGTGAAATCTTCGAAAGATATCCGGTCAACTTACATGACAGGGTTATGGGGCGTTTTAGATTTCCATGGGCGGCGGAAATCACTTTAACATCACGTGACCCACCCGCTCGTCTGCCAAGTTTTGACATAAAAACGTAAATTTAAAAAAAAACTAAGTTTAATCGATGAATGGTAAAGAACAATAAAGAAATATGACTTTTTAATAATAAAATATACAATAAGGTCTTTACCATACCTACATTCTGCCTTAACTAGCAGTTAAAGAAATTAAAACTAGGAAATTAAAATAAAATTTATCATGAATTGAAAATTTTCACCGATTTTTATATTAAAGTACTCATTTTTAGTAGAAATCTGTAATAATTCAAGGTCACAAAAATTTAACGTAATTCGTTAAATTTTTGTGACCTTGAATTAATTAAGTTAGTTATTTAAGGAGACTTGAATTCGCTATATCGAGAGACGGCTACTAAGCGAAAAAAGTTGCCGCCGACACGAAGAGCGAAAAACATTCGTAAGGTCATCGACGCATTTATCGCACAGAGTAAACAGAAAGTTTAAATCGTCTCGTTGACGTTTGTTATTGCGAGAAGTTTAATAAATTATGAGTTTAAGCGCCTTTTATTTCCGCCCCGTTAGACATAACTAAAGGGCCAATTTCATTATCCTTACTAATATTATAAACGCGGAAGTTTGTATGTATGGATGGATGTTTGTTACTCTTACATGCAAATACTACTGAATGGATTTTAATGAAACTTTACAATAATATAGCTTATACATCAGAATAAGATATAGGCTATAATTTATATACATATTTTTATGTATATCTGTCTTTCTGTCTGTATGTTACGCCTTCAGCCTACTCTACGCAGACGTAGTCGCGGGCAGCAGCTAGTTTTCTGTACTCTAGGCCATTCAATTTTCTGTCAACACAATCTTTCTTGCTGAATTGTAGGTGATAGTCAATTTCAATCGATTAGTACACTCAGTGAGATTTTTAATCTGACATCACTAATTTATGAACGTATTGTCCTAACGCTCCAGGTCTATCCCACAGTAAGTCACTTTTGGGTCTATAAACTCGACCTTTATGCATATATCATACAGAGCCCTCGATACGTTGCTTTATGAACATCGCATTTATTATATTAGAACGTATTCTTCGGTTATCCAAGTATTATTTCGGTTCAAATCTCACCAAAGTTACAAACAATCAACTTCGGCATCTCAAAAACGGTAAAAAAAGACCACGGTACTCTCTCAAACACAGTACTCGTGTGGGGTTCAGACTTTTTCTGTGGTGGGACCCCTACTGTTGCACCAGCGGGCGCACTCTTCCGGGGAAGTATTATACTTTCGCGTTTAGATACCCCATTTTAATGGTAAGCGGCGCCTGTAACCCATCAGGTGTGGAAGATTCGTGTACGCGCAACGGCAAGCTATCAAAATCGTGAGACTAATGTCTTTATAATCAATTGTTTTCCTTACCTCCAACTGGATCTGTCTCGTCAACGTGGATCATCTCGGATGATCTGCGAAAGAAAAAGTTATTTAAGAATCACAGCAATATTTTTCAACCACCCACGCATCATCAGCCATATAAAGGTCTTTCGGATCGACGAATCGGTTGATCAATAAACTTTCTCTCGCAGTTTCGTTTTCGAGAATTATGATAGTGCTGCTAAATATTACGGTTTTAAGTCTCAGCCCGTAAGTAGAAGTATTTAACAGCTAAAAGTGTATTGAGAAAAAAAAAATTAAAACAAAACTAAACTCGAGAGAACATAAGTGTAATTATTATTTTTACATATGAACATAAGTGTAATTGTATTATCCACACTTGCAAATCTTATCTAATATACACTTAAACAATAAAGATATTTCATGTGAATTAAGACATGTCATTAAATAAAACTATAAGATGACGAATTTCGTCTTGTTTTGATTTAAGAGTACCGACACTTCAAACACTTTAAACTCTACAGTATCACAAGCCACAATGATTTGTTTCATATCGTAAAGTAAAAGTTAATTCGCGTTAACGCAAATCCTTGATTGTATTTATTTTCTTTCGATCTTCGCAAACAATCCAATTGTAATTTGACATCTTGCAATGTTGGAATGCTTGGGTGTTATTTTATTAATTACAGGATCAAATTGATGTAATCCCCAAACTGCTCTAATGAAATGAGGATTTTTTATTAGTCTTGGTGCATCGGTGCTCTTTTTTGAGGATTTGACGTTTTCCATTCTAATATATTATTTGGGGCGTTCTAAACATTATCGTAAACTGCAGGCTTCTTCTTAAACATGTCTTGTTATTACCAATGGGGTTATCGTTTGTAATCAACACGTTAAACGATTATCAATAGTCACTAGCCAGTTAGCGTTAAATATTGCGCTCGACCAAATATTATCCTGCCTTTTAAGATGCGCCTGTCTTTATAACAACCCAAAATATGAGCCACGCCACAGTCCTTCCGGGTGAGTATCACGATCTCACAGAAGACCGGTGTGAAGTGGAAGTGTGCGTGGAATGTGGGGATACTTTTGCGTTTCGTCTGGTGGGTGAGGTAGCCGGGGAACTTTATTAGATTAAGGTGACAAGGCATCTGCACATCTCGCTTGCCACCATATACCACATAATAAAAGTGACTGTTAATTAATGAAGATTTAAATGACTACATTTCATCTATAACCTCTTTTGTCTGTTCTAATGTTAAAAGTGCATTCAATAGAAATACGGTGCGACTTCTTTGATATGAGCCTTCAACAGGGAAACATTTACGTTAACGCGCTCGTCAAAAGTGGGCCAACATACCTCGACGCGGCCTCGCGCCGTCGTCTGCTCGGTATTCTGTGAATTTGATAATTTCCCTTCCGAAAACGTTCACGCGTGAAAGCTGCCCGCGGCTGAATGAATAAACTTGATTCATGGGCGCTCCGATGTTTCTGGACGGTTTATTGGGTTCGTAAACGTTTATGTCGCAGTTACACATCTGCCTGATTGTCTTATACAATCGAAAAGATCTAGTTAGAAACACAACGGGTATCTTTCGATTTGTTTACCTTTTGCCCTTTGTACTTTATTTAATTAACCTCCTTGATTTGACAACGAAAACAAAGACAAAGTATGTGTACGATTGTGAACATATTGCAATTCTTGACAATATGCTTTTGTAATTTAATAGTTTAGTTACGTAATAAGCATTGTCGAGTTCAAAAAGGTCGTACTATCTAAATATCTCAGTCACGATTATAAAAACTGTTCCTATTGTATATTAAAATGTTACAACGAACAAAGATAATTTAAAAAGTCATGATTTAATTACCGCTCGAGTTCCAACGTTTCGTAACCCATACGGTCTGAACTGATCGATTTTGTAGCGAAATTTAAATAATTATCTCTTATCTGTTCCGACCCGCTTTGATCTACTTTATTAAATTATAATTCACACAATTGGAAAAGTTGTCTTTAGAATATTTAACGGCCGCACAACGCCAAGGCCACACGAGCTCCATTATGACATTCTAGACAAGCAGGGCGCTCTCCGGCGATTTATAATAAACCCCGACTGCAACAGTATTCGGGTCATCTATTTAGGTTTACGAACGAGCGTTACGGGACATGTTATTGCGATCATACAGCCGGTCACGACTCCAAACGCACGATTACATTGCGAATGTACTCTTTTGTCTATTGTTGCGAACAAGGCCGGAACACTCGCTTTGTTCGAAAGTCATATAGCGGCTGTGGCTCCACGTGCAGAGCTTTCTTTGCCTATTCGGTCGGGCAACAAATAAAAAAAGCTGTTGTCAATGCGTTGACGTTGATAGTGGTGACATTTTCGATTGCAATAATGAATTTTAAAATGGATTAAATGAAATATGTATGATGTGGTCTATTGTTTTAAACAGGTTTAATTTTTTGTCTACGATTGTAGGCCTCACTACAGTAACGTGTTACAGTTGCCAACAACAACGGGACTGGTTATGTTTTTTTTAAACCGGACCACTTTATTGTCGTGTAAAGGTTGAATGCTTTGAGTGTTTTTTTTTTACTTAATTTTTCTTGCCAGTTGTGTTGGATGTTTTAAAAAAAAAAATTTTTTTTATAATTAATTAGTTTTATCTAATATATAAAATTCTTGTGTCACAGCTTTAGTGTTTATACTCCTCCGAAACGGCTTGACCGATTTTAATGAAATTTTATATATGTTTATTTATATTTATGTAGGTATGAGAATATAGGTTAATTTAATTAGAAAGGTTTATAAGTATTTTTTATACTCCTAAATGATAAGGATGGTCCACTTCAAGGTTTTTTCTACCCTACAAATTCCCTAGAAATAATTTTCATGGCAAAACAACGTTTGATGGGTTAGCTAGTACTATTATGTTAAATTTCTGAACACGAATTAATCAAGTCGCAATAAGAAAATTTAAATATGTACCATCAATATAACATTTTTTAGCATTATCATTCTTATTTTTTTGTGATACAAATAACATTTAACTATGAACGTTTGTAATGAAAGGTGTCGCCTGAGTATTCGCTGAGATAGTATTTTTGTAGATTCTTTACAAATATTTTTCTAAACGGGCACCATAAATTAATGTCTAACATCGCGACTTTTTGCGAAAAGAATGTACCATCTGTAAAAAGCATCTGCGAGCAGTTCCGGCAGGCAACCGACCGTGAAACATCTTAAATCGAAACTAAACATAGAAGACAGGACAAGGACAGCACTTTAAACTTAAAAATATTTTTAAAACGCAGATTATTTTAAGAATACTGTTTAGGACAACGTACGCTATGTCAAAATATAGCTAATTTTCCTTAATTATTATCCATTCAATAAGATGTCTAAAGTGGTATTTTAAATATAATGTCGAGATAATTAATTTATTCCTATGTAGAATCTCGCTCAAATATAATTATGGATGTTTTTAAATAATGACTGTATGTGAAAGAATATTTCTTCATAAATTATGATTTCACTTAGTTTATTTCAGTTAAAGTTTTGTTTCAGCGACTTTCCGACCAAAATCATTATAGATGCTGTTTTATGTTGCATTTACTTTAAACCATATATCTATCACAAATATTCTATTATTACAATCAATAAAAAATCGATCGCAATGTGTATCTTCTAGTAATAATTTAAAATTGTAAAACAACCTATTTATAGGTTAAGACATTTCGCTATTTATATCGCTGTAATAACAATGCAGAATAATTGTTTAACATTAATAGTTTACTCGATAATCGACATACGGGATTTCATATGCGGAAATTACTATACGAGGGAAACCATCAAAATATTACTTAATTCAACGTCTATTCTGCGTGGTTTAGGCGTTAAAACAATAAAGATGAATAAATATTTTAGCCAAACAAGAGATGTTTATATCGATATCGATATTATGTTAATAGCACATCACTATAATTATGTTACACGGTCGAAGCTACGACCATGCGTAGGAGGATGTGTCGAGAAAGGACCATCTATCGTAAAATACGGCCACTAAATTCACCACAGATAAGTGTAATCTGCGAATTTATTCACCGTCAACAAACGCTGCTCCAATTTAGACTGCTTTTGTTGTAGCTCTGAGCAAAACATGCATCAGATACTATATCATCGTGATGTATTATTTATTTAGTGTTTATTTGACCCGGTTTGCGTCTATGGTAGGTGATTGCAGCCTGCGGCAACTATTTGTATGGCCTGCAGATTATCGAAATCCTTTCGAAATCAATGCAAGTTTCTCAGTATCAAAAACCAAATGTTCCTTAATAACAGCGGAGTGGATTTGAAAGCTCTTTTTGTGGAGATTGCTTATGAGCTTTAATCTTGAAGATCTCGTGTATAAAGCCGCAGCTTTAAACTGTTTTTCCAATTTTATTATCACCACAGACGGCGTATTTCATTCATCTCAAGGCTTCATCATCATGTTGTAGTTTTCTAAACATGGAGCATCTGAGTCTAAACAAAAACTTTGTGTTCTTTAATTGAATTTATAAAATAAATAATAAATATAAATTTTTAGGACACATTTTTTTACACAACATTCTCCAGTCCCAAACTAAGCAAAGCTTGTACTATGGGTACTAGATAACTGATAAATATACTTAAACATGCTTTTTTTTGGAAATAAATACATATTATACATATATACACACCCAGACACTAGAAAAACACCAAGTTCATCACACAATATTTTTCCAGTAGTGGGGATCGAACCCACACCCTCTGGCGCAGGAGGCAGGTACACTACCCACAACGCCATTCGGGTCGTTAAAAAATGCCGTATTATTTCTTATAACGGTTCTTCGAAATAACATTTCTGCTAAGAACCGCATGGTAATCAGGGGAATTCAGGTGCCACCTGAATTCGCACATAATTACGCCATTTTAATTGACAATTTCGCTGGAACAAACCCGAGAGCAATAATTTTATAGGAAGCAAAATTTTAAGTATTTTAGATGTCTTTTAGTTGCTTAGAGTGCCGCAAAT